ATAAAATAATAAAATAAATTATAAATAATATAAAATAATAAAATCAATTTTAAATAATATAAAATAATAAAATAAATTTTAAATAATAGAATTAATGAACGCAAAATATTCTTGTGAACATTTTAATAAAGTTTATGCATTTATTAATTTTCAATATTTTACAGGACGAATATTTTTTTCTCGTGTGTAATAATGATTCTGTATGTATACATGATAGAAGTAATTTTTCGTTTTTAGCGGAAGAAATAATGTGCGAAGCTACGAATAACTAATTAATGTTACAGCTAGTTTGCAGACGGCGTATAAATGATTTACACATATATCGGTTCTAAGCCAATCACTTTCTTCCTGCAAAGGATTCCCGCAGGTCATAAAGTTACCTCAAATAGTTGCTGATGATCGTATGATTAACGACCGTGTATTCTTGGTCGACAACAGATTAACGTATAATATTCCCGGTGAAAATAAGCTGATCATTTCTACTAGCTGATAAATTACCAAATACTATTATCAGCGTATCCCAATCGTGTGCGAAATTTAAAACATCCGCAAAAAAAGCGCAATCATAGTCTTCTTCTACCAGTCAGATTCGCGGTCGCGAATTCTAACCACAAAGAAATTTTTATACGTCCTCTCGTTAGAAAAAGAAGACACCTTTCAAAATCGCCGATTAACGCGATAATTCATTGTAGAAAGTTCAATATTCGGCGCAAATAAATGTACCGAGAATTCTCGATAATTTGTGGCAAAAGAAGAGTGCCAATTCAACTTCAATGACATTAATAATATGAAAATGATTTCTGCGCGCTCGAAAGTCGCGAAATTAAAATATAAAAAAATCAGACTAAGAATAATAAATAATAAAAAAATAGAGACTATATTTTTATATAAAATTTGTTTTGCAAGAAAAATTATCGAAATGCTATTTCAATTTCTTCTGCAAAATATATATAGGTATATATGTAATAGCAAACATAATTTATTTATATTTATTTAATTATATTATCCATCATGTTAAAAGAAAAAGAGAGAGAGAGAGAGAGATTCCATTATTTTAATTTATGAATTTTAATATAGGATTTACATTTAATAATATAAAAAATAATATAATTCTTATCTAATCATTTTGTCAAAAAATAAAATGCCTTCCTTTCACATCTTTTCATCAATTTTTATCAATAGATTTCTTCTTTAAAAAATTAAAAAGTTTAACAATATATTTCATTTTAAGTGGAAAAAATTTTTCTAACACATATACACATATATGGTTGTAATATAATGAACATGACAGTTAAAATCGTCCTTTCTTATAACTTTAATTCCAAATCTCCCGAACGAAATATAGAATATACTTTGTAATTCACAAGCACATAAAAAGATTCCTTTTCTTTCGTAAGACTTTTTTACTCTTCTGTTACATAATACAAAATATCGAATAACTAATTGGAATAACTGAAAGGATATAAAAAATTGATACATTAATGATGAACGATGTTGAACATCGAGCCATTAAAACGAATATTGAAGGAATTGTTCATCCATTGTTCGATTTGGGACTTTCAATGCATGCTGAGTAAAAGAATCATCAGCAGTATTTGCTGTTGTCTAAATAAAATTATATAGATGATCATCTAGATGAAACTTTGGCGTCATCTTATCTTTATATAGATAATAAAAATATGTATTTTATCTATATCTGCATCTAATAATCTTTACTAAATTATCTAGAATAATGTTCAGATAATTTGATTTAAAGTCATAGCGCATAAAAAATACTGAAAATTTATAAATAAAAATATGAATATATTTTTATATTCCCATTTATAATTTACATTTTTTTATAACTGTGTTTAATTTGATTTAAAGTCATAGCATATAAAAAACACTGAAAATTTATAAATGAAAATATAAATATATTTTTATATTCCTATTTATAATATACCTTTTTTTATAACTGCGTTCACATAAGCAGTTTTAAAAATTATCTAGAAAATTATAAATTAATTACCTAGATGAATCGTCATATATAATTTCATATTTTATCAAGATATATTGAAAACAAAATCATCTTCATCTTATCTAAGATAAATTTAAGTACATATTTTTATCTCATCTTTATTTAATTAATTTTAAAATCATCTAACAATTTAAGTATTATTAATTTTTATGTTCATTTGTCATTTTATGTTCAATTGTAAATAAAAAAAAAAAAAAATTTCTATATAAAAATCAAAATTTCTTTGTTATTTGTTATTGTAAATTTTAAAAGAATTAACAAACACAAAATTCTAATTTAATTCATATTTTTATCTAGCTATATTGAAAACAAAATCATCTTCATCTTATCTAAGATGAATTTAGGTACATATTTTTATCTCATGTTTATCTAATGAATTTTAAAATCATCTAACAATTAAAGTATTATTAATTTTTATGTTCATGTGTCATTTTATGTTCAATTGTAAATACAAAAAAAAAAAAAATTTCTATATAAAAATCAAAATTTCTTTGTTATTTGTTATTGTAAATTTTAAAAGAATTAACAAACACAAAATTCTAATTTAATTCATATTTTTATCTAGCTATATTGAAAACAAAATCATCTTCATCTTATCTAAGATGAATTTAGGTACATATATTTTTATCTCATGTTTATCTAATGAATTTTAAAATCATCTAACAATAAGCACAACACTGATCATTAGAGATGTAGGAGGAAAGAAATTCGAGTCTCTTGTGTCTGCGAATGTGAGACCAGCAGGCGGAGGAAAGACAGGACTGGCTGCTGCGAACACAGCTCAACGAGGTCGAACGTCTCGAACTTTCCATGGATGAGACGACCGAGACTGCGCCGTCTGAACCTACCTATCTCGACCGGACATTCCGGGACGGAAGAGGCGACGAATGTCGCTCGGCTTCGTCGGTTGTTCACCGGTTGTTGCGTTTCGTGACGCAATCCACTAATCAGTAACCAATTATGTTCACAAACCAAACAACTCATATTTCAGACCTATTATATAGTAATCGCACACGACGTTTTCTTCAAATACCATCTTTTCAATATTTTTCATTCTTTGACTATTATTCATCCAAGCATAATTTTTTTAGCAAGCTTATACCGTGAAGTCTTCATGTAGTCTTTCAAGGTTGCCTCAAGAATATATCGTTACGAATCAATAAATGCGCGAATAAATAAATTACTAAAGTGAATCTGTGTTGTAAATGTTTTATTTTTGAATTTATTTTGAAATTTATTGCTTCTTACTAATATTCTGGAAAATGTATGCGTATTTTACACGCATATTTAAAAAAATGAGCATCTATAGATATAGATAATATAATATTAATTAATGTTCGGAATAGATTTAGATTAGGTCAGAAAAACAAGTATGGTTTATTTCATTAAATTATATCATGCGAAATGTAAAATCGAATAACGCATATTATATAACTACAATTTCATTGTCAATTGATGAAAAACATGTAGACCCGAGTAAAAATTATTTTTTTATTATCATGGAAATACTTGTCATGTATTTTTGCTGAATAATATAGTAGTAAGAATGTTTGTCGGAGAATAAATTTCCAGTCTTTATTTTTTTAGAGATCTTTATTATGGAGAACAAAATTTTAAAATATGTCTACATGTAAGCAGATAAAATTCGATTCCTTGTAGCATTTGACGTATCAAATATTAATTGCAATTTCGTAAAACAAAATTCTCTTCATTACTTGAATATATTAAATTATAAATATATAATGTGCAAATCTGTTTTAATTTCTCTTTACACATATATGGGTATTTTTTTATGGTATCTCGAAAAGTATGAAGAAACGAAAATATAGCACTCTGTATGTAATACTTTGAAATGTGCTTTATGACGCGTTTCTAATGCAAACACAGATGTTCGCAGAAAAGGAGATAAAAAATATTCTTTTTAGCAAATCTGTTCCATTGTGATATTGTCGGAGTAAAGAGATATATTAACAGCGACATATTCAATATTCAGAATATGGAAAATTTTTCAGTGAAAAAAAATATTCACATCGCATCATATTTTTCTAAATTATTTCTAATGATAATATGATAAAAAAATTGATTTTTTTTATATTATTAAAATATTAAAACACGTTACATCCTTCATGTAAAATTTTTATTTTTATCATGCCGGCAAAGAAACATATCATTCAAAAAATGACAAGATAAAATCAGAAATTAAAAATTAATCCATCAAGATTCTCGTTCAACAAAAACTGATCAGATTGACAAGTTAAGGATTACTAACAAAAGTGGATTCAAAGTTGTTTGACAACTGTCAAACAAGTCAGTTGATGAGAAAATGCATCAAGATTCGTTTTATTCGCATTAATTAAAAAATACCAGGGTTGGGTGAGCTAATGATTTTTTAAAACTAATTTAAGTTGAAGTTAATTGCTTATAAAATTAATTTAATAAAGTTAAAAGTTGCACGAACAAAAACTTGACTCAGTTAAAGTTAAATTATGAAAATTTAATTATAACAAATAACAAAGAAATTTTGATTTTTATATAAAATATATTTTTTGATAATTACAATTGATGACAAACGGACATAAAAATTAATAATACTTTAATTTAAAAATAATACGTTTATAACTTATAAAAAAAACAATACTTAATAAGTTTAAGGTAAAAAATAACTAGTTGAAGTTAAAAATTAATACATTTAAAATTAACTAAGCTAAGTTAAAAGTTATTAACTTTTAACTAATTAACTATTACTCAACTCAAAAAAATACATATATATTTTTCTCTTCAAGTATAGATTCGCAAAAAAAAAAAAAAAAAAAAAAAAAAAAAAAAATCGTAGAAATGTGAGAAAACATCGCGCGTCAGTGAGTTGACGCAAAAAGCTGAACTTTTGAGCGAGAGTGCAAGCTATCGATCGAATACGCAACCCTCCGGGTTGTGTCGAATGCTGACGCAAGAACCTGGGGCGCTTCGTTCTTGGCGGATCTCCGAGTATTGCGTTCGCCGGTACGTAACACACGTTGTGTGTCTCACCGTGCCGCGATAATTTCGCGACTGCGCCGCGTTTCTCCCTTCCCCTCCCTCTCCCTCTTCTACCCCTTTGATCCCGCCGCGCCGCGACGTCCATCCCCACCGTTCGCTCGCGAGAGCGAGAAGGCGGCGCCTCAGCTCGCAGCGACGTGTATATAAAGAGACAAACCCCCCGAACCGATTAGCAAAGTTCCCCAAAACACACGTAACACAGCAGACTTTTCCATGCCGACCTACTCGTAAGACGACGAGAACTACAACAAATCCGGTACCGAAACGACAAGGAGAGAGAGAGAGAAAGCAGAGATCCTTGAACCGGGACCAGATCATCAGGAGTTTGGCGTCATCGCAAACTAAGCAAAGGAGACATCGCATATCGAGATAAGGCAGTGAAAAAGAGAAGAAATCTGTGTGTTGGGAGCCTCTTTTCCCTCGAACGAGTCACGAAAAAAAACGGAGCACGACGTGGCGACGAACAGCTGATGACCGGCGAAAGCACCGGAATAAATACTCCGAGACGACCCGTCACATTCTTTCATCCCCGCGTTCTTTTCAGGGTGCGTAACACAAAAAAGAGTCCACCTACGTGATATAGAACGCATCGACCGCGATCGATCGGGGGAGCAGTGAAAGCGCGACTGGAGCAACGACTGGAGGACGAGCTGTCAAACCGCGTCAGCTGGGGAATCCTAGCGCTGTCACAACACGACCACGTGTGATCTAGCTTTGACGTAAAGCGCGCGCGCGCGCGCGCGCCTGCACTCTCGCGCACTCTCACGCATATATATTCTTCACGCACCTGCGTATATCATCGCCTGTGCACTCACGCGTCCGTCGAGCGATCTCGACGCGCACTGCACGAGCCGCAGGTCGCGCATCGAGAGAGAGAGAAAAAGAGTTGGCGCGACCTCTCCGGGTTTTCATCGGCGTCGCCCACGAGGGACCGGAACAACAAACCGGTCGACGAACGAGAATATTTCCACGAGAAAAAGTGCGAGGACGTGGATCGCCGAATCACCCCTGTCATCAACGTCATCAACGCACCCCTACGCACCAGAAGGATGCCTGGCTCCCAGAGGAGGCAGATGATGCAGCCATGGCCCCTGTGCCTGGCGCCCTTCGCGAGAACGAAGGTAAGACTAGCCACCCCCGAGCGTGGAATAATTTCTCCCCTTCCACTTTTTTACCACCCCGAGCGTGAGGCGGTTTCTCTCTAGGTTTTCGCTCCAGATCGCTGTCTGGTTAGCCAGAAGCCGGCCGCTGCTTTCCACCTCCCGTTCGACGATCACCCTCGTTCATATATATATATATAGATATAGACAGATCTTTCTCTCTCTCTCTTTCCCATTCTCCGTCTACCACCTTCCCCACCCTTAAACCTGTGGAAATTTCCACTGCACCGGCGGCAGGCAGGCGTCTGCCGCCTTTAAGGCATGCTTTTTTTCTTACGGCTTTCCGGCCTCGCGAACTCTCTTTTCCCGTTTCTTATTTCTCTCCGTTATTAGCAGCTCTCTTTCCTTTAATCCTTTTTTTCCCCTAGCTTTTTACATGGATATTGTCCCTTTACCAGGGTAATAACTAGTTAATTAGTTAAGTTAAAAAAAAGTTAATAACTTTTAACTTAGCTTAGTTAATTTAAAATGTATTAATTTTTTAACTTCAACTAGTTTTATTTTTCACCTTAAACTTATGAACTTTTTTTCCCAAGTTACATTTTTTATCTCTGAATACCATTATTGTCTTTTTATAAGTTATAAATGTATTATTTTTAAATTAAAGTATTATTAATTTTTATGTTCATTTGTCATCAATTGTAATTACCATAAAATATATTTCTATATAAAAATCAAAATTTCTTTGTCATCTGTTATCTTATTATATATTTCAAAAGAATTAACAAACAAAATTCTAATTTAGTATAAATAATATTTTTAAAAATTAACTTTTGTGATTTAACTTTAGTTAATTTAACTGAGTTAATTTTTTGTTCATAAAACTTTTAACTTAACAAAATTAATTTTATAAGCAACTAATTTTAACTTAACTTATATAGTTTTAAAAAATCATTAACTTACCCAATCCTACCTTTTACGCGATTCGCAAATTTTAAATCATCAGTCAATTGTGGGGTATAAAAGAGATGAGTCCTATTTGCATTAGTTTATACATTAAAGGCTCATCTAACACAGAAAATATATTATTAAATTAATACATTAATTTAAAAAAATGTTTAAGAAACTTTGAATTTTAATTGAATATTTCTAATTAAAATTATACGATCAATCCATGAAAACTGCGACAGCGAAATGATGATGTATATATAGGACGATTGATTTATTTTATTTTCTATTCAAACGATTCCTTTCCCTCCTGCTAATTTTTTTGCGCCGTTTTTATTGTTTCGTGCCTGTAATTCCTGATTAAATCACTTGGAAGGCTCTATATTTAAATGAGCGAGATTCGCATGCCGTATCGGCATGTTGAGAGTCACGGTCTAATGATTTTCCCGATCACGATATCGCGTTACAATATTATTATACATGTTTCGAGAAAACGTCCGAGATTTTATGACGTTATAGATTTTTCGAATCTGACTTTCGAAGCCAGATGGGGACTTTCTTGAGGAAGATATCGACATTCATCAAATTCCTTTCGTTGAAAAAATTCGAGACAAAAATGCATGGATAGATGTTGAATAATGTAAAAATTGTCGGTCCAAAATTTCGACTAATCCAAGAATCTCGATAATCATAGAGCAATTCTGTCACACGAAGAGGAATAATTCTCGAGAGATCTGTCAGACTAATTTTGGATACTTAATAAAAGCTACTTTTCGGTGATTTTCATCGATGATCGCGGAAAATGATGATCAACAACGTGACATCTCTCTTGACATACGAGAGCTGTTGCAGAAGGTTAAATTGTTTCCTCGCGGAAATATCGATCGCATAACATGCGCGCGCATAATATAGGTAAAACTGGTGCATATATCGGAAGCCAGAGTCGAACGGAACCGATAAATAAATTATTCGAGAAACAAGGTATCAAATTCCTGTCTTCCCTTTCGTTGAAAAAATTCGAGACAAAAATAATGCATAGATGTTAAATAATGTAAAAATTGTCGGTCCAAAATTTCGACTAATCCAAGAATCTCGATAATCATAGAGCAATTCTGTCGCACGAAGAGGGATAATTCTCGAGAGATCTGTTAGACTAACTTTGGAGACTTAATAAAAGCTACTTAATCGCAGTTCGGCCAGATCGTCGAGAAACGATTAAAAAAATAAAAACCATTGAAATTTTATCGGTGAAAAAAAATCGTGATGGTATAGTGTCATAGTCATTCCCGGGGTGTTTACATATGGGGACGTGCATGAGATACGCACTTCGTTACGTAATATTGTATGTACATGATGACGGAGGAAATTTCCGAAAGCATGTTAGGCGACGACGCGAATAATTTTGATAAGAGACGAGAAAAAATGTAGGAAAAAGAAAGCGTCATAGATTTCTTGCGTTTGAAGTAAAACCGAGTGATAAACTTGGTTTTTTGTCAGCAAAATTGTTAAATTAAATCACGCGGTTTAAAAATAGATGACAAAATTCTCATCACGTTTCACCAGGAAAGATAAAACGCGCCAGGACCTGTCTAAATTCAAATCTGACTGATTTTCGAGAAAATCTTGTGCGTTTCAACGAGTTGAAAAATTTCGATTGAATCTTAGGTGAAACCTGTCGATCAGTCCTGGGCTTTATATGTAAATAGAATATTTATTGATTTTTGCATATATAGCTTACATTTCTTATTTGTGTGATTAGCATAATTTTATATTTAGATATACATATATTAATTTATATGAAATTGACCAAAAAATGATCTATTTCTAAATTATTTCATTCTTTTTAATCAAGTAATATTTTCGTATTTAATCCATTTACTGTCAAATATAATATTATAAATAATTTTATTTTTTCAACGAAATCATATAATTATTAATAAATTAAAAAATTTTAGAATAATAAAATTTTGATTAAAATTTTATTATTGAGATAATAAATTAAAATAATTGTCTTTAGAATAATTTCAAGAGATATTAAATCAAACGAATTGCCAATAACATTACTTTTTGTTTTCGTAATCGAAATAAAAAAAGTTTGAAGTATATTGTTTATTTCTAATAATAATTGCCCAGTTCTGTTCTTGTTGTAGCAATCATCAAGTTTATATTCCAATCGTCGTTCATCTCAAACTCTTTCTGGGATTGAATAACCTGTCATTGTGTTCATAGATCACCTTCCAGATGGCTCGGTGCTTATCTACCTAAGGATACAGTATCGAAAGAAAAATATCGATACCTGACTTATCGGAAGAAATGTATCGCACTTATATCGGAAAAGTATCGATATAGTAACAAGAGAGAGAAAAAAAAAGAATAATATCAAGAAATATTCGAAAAAATTATACTTTTTTCTCACGTCTTTTTCATTTTTTCTACGATAACAGAATCATAAGTAATAATCAATTTAACGATTGGAACATATTTTGAAATACAAAATATTTCATACGAATTATTGCTAATTTTTGGCTAACTTAAAAAGCAATGTTTCTGCAAAAACAGAGTACAAAAAAGATTGCATTTCTTATTATGCACATTTAATTTCGACAATCTTTATCAGTTCTAATCTCGATATAAAAGACATAAATTGTGCATAACAAAGTGTCAAAAAAAAAAAAAAAAAAAAAATACATTATATATGAAACATCGATATTTTCTTTCTCTTCGAGAATCTTTCACCTTCATCTCATACTTTTGTAACGCCGATGGAAAGCATCAATAAACCATTTTTGATGATGAAAATCCGACTTTGTCATTAACTCTCGAAACTGCTCGGATCCCGTTCCCGTGTCGCGACTAGAAAATGTTATCGACTTTCAAACACATTGCGTCTAATCGCCACTACTATACTATCGACCGATATATATACAGGGTGTCCGGTAACTAACGGACCAACGATTACAAATGGATTCTTTGGTCAATTTGGGAACGATTTTTCCTCAGCGAAAATGTCGAAAAAGATCATCATTTTTTACAACTTTCCAATATTTGTCATTATGTATCTTTATAACTAAGCCTCAAATTAAAATTTTATTATAGTAAACTCTACCTGAAATTAACTGAAGAATGTAATTATGTTAGACTTTTAACTCCAAAACGTTTAGTTTTCAAAAAACCCATTTTTTTCAATCGCTTATAACTCGAAAATTATTGACTTCTCAACATTTTTGCTAAGGAAAAATCGTCTCCAAATTGGCCAGAAAATCCGCCCTTAATCATTGGTCCGTTAGTTACCGGACACCCTGTATATATATATAAAATATGCGTATATGTTCGGTGTGGTTCAAGGTAGACCAGAATTAAGATAATATTTATACACACCGCATAAATTTCATTTCTATACCACATGTCTATATACGCATCTGGGAAATATCAAGGACGACGAGAAGAAAAATCCCATAAAAATACCTACATCGCGCATCGTGAATAATCAAGTTTACGGATACAAAATTTTTCATTTGCATATGAACGCTCAGCTTCGTTTGTATAAATATTCATTGTCCGAGGAGACACACTTTATACGAAAGACCGAGCAAAAAAGTGCAAGAGATTTTTATCATGTCCTTTAAAATTATATATTTTTTAATTTCCGACATAAAAAAAATCTTTGATAAAATTTTTCTTTCTAATAAATTTTGGATATTTTTTTAATGCGACGTCGCAAAAACTTGTAATAATCTTCGTCTTTGAAGCGTGCGTTTTTCTGAAAAAATTTGTCGGAAGAAAAGATGCAATATGAGCATAAATCTTGATAAATCTCGATTAATTAGGCTCGATTTTAATTAATGAATTAATTAATTGTGTACTCCCGGATACCGATGGACAGTCAGCTAAAATTCGGGAGTTGCGTTATTACCGACAAAGCGCGAATGCATATTCATATCTAGTCTTCCTTGTCGATCTATCGGCAAGAAACCTCGAGTGTTTGCTCAAACGCAAGACGGGTTGCTGTTTTATGAGGAAGAAGGCGAACGCGAATTCGGATGCGTTACAAAACCATGGAATCAAAGTGAAAA